GTACATTTCTAGCAGTCACAGTAAGTACTCACTTTTGATGAAGAAAGGGGGCTTATGGGAAAGAGATTTTTAGCCTGGGCAGATAGTAACACAACAAAGGGGAATTTTAAACTAAATGAGGTTAGATTTCGGTTAGCGATAAGGAAGAACTTCTTCCCTGTGAGGGTGGTGAGGCCCTGGCACAAATTGCCCAGAGAAGCCGTGGCTGCCCCATCCCTGGAAGTGTTCAAGGCCAGGTTGGATGAGGCTTGGAGCAACCTGGGATAGTGGAAGGTGTCCCTCCCCATGGCAGGGGGTGGAATGAGATGAGCTTTAAGGTCCATTCCAACCGAAACCATTTTGCGAATCTGGAGCTACCTGGAAGAGGGACTGTGGAGAAAGAAAGGCCACTGGTTAAAGGGTGATATTTGAGGGGGATCACTTCCAACTGGAAGTGATGCTCCTGCCCTGCCATCACTTCTCTGAGCTGGAGCTGTGGTTTAGACACTGTTGATCCTGTCCTGTAGGTTTTCCAGGCAGAAGACACTGTTGGTCTGACCAGCGTGGCACAGGTGGTGTTTCCCGTTATTCCCAGACACTAAAGTGTCTGAAGTGCTTCCGCTTTTCAAAAACATATTTGAGGACTGATAATTATTTGTACATCCAGAAAGTGCCTACTAAAAAATCTGTGCCTTTCATCAGCAAACTCCTTGGATGGATATCCTATCTTCAAACTCAGAGGAAGAAAAGGACCAGACACAGGGGCGATTTGTGTCAGAAGAAGTGTTTGATTTGAAGTTCTTCTAAAGTGCAGCCATTGGGAGAGGCTGGAGCCTCCCACTCTCCAGATAACTAGCTCATATGCGCCGAGGGGAGTGCTGCATGATGCTTTGGGCACACTGGCTTGTGTTCAGGGCACCTGCATCCCCCTCAGATCTCAGGTTACTCTTTCGCCTGTCTCTAAAGTCTTTCATTACTGGGGATTAAACTTGTAATTTAGGTTTAATTTTATTCTCATCTTTCGGGGATCTCACTTAGGGGAGCACCAACAGTTACACCGCGTGTCTGGCTTAGCTGTAGGTGTGCTCCAGGCTTAAGTGCTGACGCTGGAAGCTGATTTGCATCTTGCCTGGTGCAGCAGTTCACAGCATGGCTACCCAGTGAGGGGCTGTGCCACCACAAACCTGCTGGGAGGTTCCACATCCCACGGTGTTGTTGAGGATCAGGAGGACGTTGTTCAGATCTCCCCAATGCCTCTCCAATGAGGGGCTTGTGAGTTTTAGGCTCATGGTACAGCTTGTCCCTGGAAGGCTCTGGGGACCAGGTTAGACAGGGTTTGGAGCAACCAGGTCTAGAGCAAAATGTCCCTGCCCACACCAAGGGGTTGGAACTAGATGGTCTCTAAGGTCCTTCTCAACCCAAACCATTCTAAAGTTCTATGATTCTATGACTTAATTAGCTTTTGACAATCTCTAAACTTTGGACTTGTTCTGACTATGCACCACTGGAAACAAACTTAGCTACTGCTGGAGCCATGAAACTTCTTTTCTGACCAGATCTCCTCAAACTTCCTGCCCTTTCTGTTACCATATAAATATATATATATATGTATCTTATGATTATGACTTTGATTCAGAAGCTCACGTGCTTCGGGGCTGCTGATCTCTCTGATGTCCCTGTGTGCAGTGCTGCTTGACCGCTCCTCAGTGCCTTACGACACTGGACACAGGGACACAGGACATGGGGATAAACACACAATTTACCTGTCTAAACCCGGTGCCAGGTGACTAACCTGGAGCAGCAGGATTTGCTATTTGTATGACATTTTTCCAGCTGAATCTGCACGGCTTCAGCGCGTGTCCCAGCCCGTCAGTCCTTGGGGCTTTTTACTGTGTTTTCTTGTGTGGGGAAGATGACAGTGAGCTCTGACATCTGCCCTCCTGCAAAGTGCACGTGCCAAGGAATCCGCTATCCTGTTTTATTTCTGAAAGACCAAGGACACAAGTATTATTCCGAAGGAGCCTGCTGTAGTCTTAGTTGTTTAAATACATATTTTAAAAAATAAATTTTGAGTCTCACGTGTTGGGTATGTGAGTTTTTTTTTAAAGGTTGTCTTGTTCACTTTCTGTTGGGGCTGGGGTGGGACACCTTCAGAGCACATCCTCGCTCAGCCTTTATTTCAGTCCTTGCTCAATACCAACACAGATGTGGCAGAAAACACCCCAAATAAGACTGGCACAAGGACAAGTACTTGCTATTAAACATGCACAGCTGACAACGTAGGGCTGTTTGCCCTGGAAGAGTGTCTGCTCTGCAATACATGGCATGGTTTCTTTATTGGGTCTTTTCTGCTGACTGAGCACAATAGTTGCTGTTAGGCTTTTCTGGATGCAGAGGTCCCCAGTGGCTTGCACATTCATTAAATGCACAGAAGTGACACCAAAACAGGGGTGCTGGGGAAGGGTCTGGAGCAGCAGGAGCGTCTGAGGGAGCTGGGGGGGCTCATCCTGGACAAAATAAGGCTCAGAGGGGACCTTCTGGCTCTGCAACTCCCTGACAGGAGGGAGGAGCCAGGGGGGTGGTGTCAGGCTCTGCTCTCAGAGAACAGATGATAGGGTGAGTGAAAATGTCCTCAAGTTGTGCCAGGGGAGGTTTAGGTTAGATATTAGGGGAAATTTCTTCCCTGAAAGAGTTGTCAAGCTGTGGCACAGCTGTCCAGAGCAGTGGTGGAGTCCCCATCCCCAGATGGATTTAAAAACTGTGTGGATGTGCCACTCGGGTTAGTGGTGACCTAGGCAGTCCAGGGGGAATGCTTGGACTTGATGATCTTGGTGGTCTTTTACAACCTCATTGACTAGGATTCTATGAAAACACCAAGTGTTCGCACAGACCTAGGCCAAGAAAACTGAGCTTTGAAGAGGAGTGTCCAGACATGGAGCTACTGGGAAACAAGTCTATATGTTCATGGGTGCCAAAATGGCTTTTTTTCTTCATAATCTCCCCTTCATCACCTTCCCTTGCCTCATGGCTTTCCAAGTGGTGCAGAAGACTTTGGCCTCCTCCCAGGCCCCTGTGGAGGAGCCCAGCCTGCCCTGGAGCCCTTTATTGAGGGTGAGATGACTCACAGGGGGGTCTGGTGTCTTCCAGACCATGCAGGAGTGCCTGGCCTCCCTATAGACCCTGGTAACCAGTTGTGCAGCTCCTGCCTTCTCTCCTCAGGGTACGAGAGACAACAAACGCCTTAGTAAGGCAACAGCTTTTATAAGACAGAATAAGTGAATAGGACAAGGTGGAACAGCTTCCCACTGCTAGAGGGCAGGGCTAGATTGGGAAGGAATTCTTCCCTGTGAGGATGGTGAGGCCCTGGCACAGGTTGCCCAGAGAAGCTGTGGCTGCCCCATCCCTGGAAGTGCTCAAGGCCAGGCCGGATGGGGCTTGGAAGTGGAAGGTGTCCCTGCCCATGGCAGGATGATTGGAACTGGATGAGCTTTCAAGTCCCTTCCAACACAAACCATCCTGTGACTCTTTGATTAACATGGATTGCAAACAAATCTGACATCCTTAAGGTGCTGGGCACTCTGCCTGGAGGCAGAGTCGACAGATCTCTCTCCTTTTCTGATCCTGTGAGCTAATTCAGAAATTATCGCAAGGAAACAGTTCTGTTTGTAAAGGAAGTTCACATGAGGACTTCTTGCTGCATTTCCAGCTACAGACAAGGCCAAGAAGATGGTCAGGATCAATGCATCCCCCCCTATACCCACGGATATTACAAATTCCAGGTTACACTAGTAATGCAGGGGCTTCTCGAGCCCCAAGTGCAGGATCCCACAGAGCGAACACTGCCTGTACAAGGCCATTAAGTCGACTGTGATGTCAAGTGAACCTTGTGAGGGCTCATCCATCTGGGCACTGGGAGAAGTCACTCCTCTTCCCTGTGGAGCCTGGGCTCTGCTCCAGCCATGGCTTCCTGGGGATGGCTGGGTGCCAGGACTGGGATCTGAGAGGCAGCAGTTCCTGGCCTGGCGCTGAGCCAGCATTTCCACTGTGCTGGAGGTGCCTCAGGAGCCGAGACAGGTAGATCTCACACCTGCCATCCTTGCTAGTGGGGGCTTGGCTTCTCATCTCACATTCCTTTGGGCAGCAGCCTGTGCTCCTCCCAGCCCCTATGGAGGGTCTGTTGGTCTGTGCAGGGGACCTTGGCCCTATAGTGGTGTGTGGGTCCAAATGGACAGTCTGTGTGTCCCTATTGTGGACCCCGACTTCCCCCAGACCCCTATTTAGTGGACCCTTCTCCCCTATTCTCCCCTATAGGCAGTCTGTGAGTCGGTCCCAGGAATGGTCTGTAGGCCCGTAGGGACATTCTGTGGGTCCCTATAGCGCTCTGAGGGTCCCATGGATGGTCTGTGGGTCTCTGTGGATGGTGGTTCCCTATGGACAGTCTCTGGTTCCCTAGAGTGCTCAGACGGTCCCACGGGTGGTCTGTGGGCCTCTATTGCCTGTTTTTCCCCATGGGCGGTGTGTGGGTACCTACAGTGCTCCGTGGGTCCCTATGGCAGTCTGTGGGTCCCTATGGCAGTCCGTGGATCCCTGTGGACTGTGTTTCCCCAAGGACAGTGTGTGGGTCCGTACAGCATTCCGTGGATCCCTATGGCAGTCTGTAGGTCCCTACAGCGCTGTGTGGCTCCCTGCGGATGCTCTGTAGGTTCCTATGCCAGCCCACGGGTCTCTATGGCAATCCGTGGGTCCCCACAGCACTCCGTGGGTCTCTGTGGTAGTCTGTGGATCCCTATAGCAGTCCGTGGACCCCTATGGCAGTCTGTGGATCCCTATAGCAGTCCGTGAACCCCTCTGACAGACCGCGTGTCCCCACGGACACTCTTTGCGACCCCTCTCCCCTCACGCCCGCCCCGCCCACCCAAGAGGGCCCCGCCCCCTCTCCCGTCCCGCTCTCCCATTGGCCGGTGCCCGCGGGGGCGTGTCCCGGGCCCGGTGCGGTGCGGGCGGAGCGCGGGCGCAGCGGGGCCATGGCCGAGGCCGTGCGGGCTCCGCGCCGCGCCCGCGGCCGCGCCAAGGTAACGGGGCACAGGGGGGCGAGGACGAGAGGCGGGGGACGGGGCGGCGAGGGGTGTCCCGCGGCGTCCGCACGCCCTGCGGCCACCGGCGTGGGTCCCGCGCCCGCCGGTGTCCGCGCCAGGCCGTGTTTACATCCGTGTTCGCTCGGCCCCTGATGGTGGAGGGAGGGAGAGGGAGGGGGGTAGAGGGGTGTGCGTGTGTGTGGGGGGTGATGTTGTTGGTTGTTGTTTGCTGTTTGTGTTATAAAAAGGGTTTCTGCTGCTCTGGGCTCCTAGTAACGCGGGTTTGGAGTAGCTGGCGGTGTGTGATAGGCCCTGCGCTGTGGCAGGATGTAAACAGGGTGTTTACTCTGTTGTCCCGCGGCCTCCTCAGGTGTCCTGTGGGGCGGCGGGGGGAATGGGCAGCCACGGAATTATCAGCTTTGACGGGGTTTTAGTGTAGTGTCCTGCTGAGAGAGCTGGGGGTGTTCATCCTGGAAAGGGAGGAGGCTCCAGGAAGGCCTTGGAGCCCCTTCTAGTGCCTAAAGGGGCTCCAGGAGAGCTGGAGAGGGACTCGGGACAAGGAATGGAGGGAGAGGACAAGGAGGAATGGCTTCAAACTACCAAAGGGCAGGGTTAGATGGCATATTGGGAAGGAATTGTTGGCTGTGAGGGTAGTGAGGCCCTGCCACAGGTTACCCAGAGGAGCTGTGGCTGCTTCTGGATCCCTGGAAGTGTCCAAGGCCAGGTTGGACAGGACTTGGAGCAACCTGGGATAGTGGAAGATGACCCTGCCCATGGCAGGGGGTGGAATGAGATGGTGTTTAAGGTCCCTTCCAACCTAGACTATTCTGTGATTCTGTGGTACTACATCTCATTTGTATAGAGCTGTCTTTGAAGTGCTGAGAACATGAGGCCATGTGTAGCATATGACAATGCTGCTTCATCATCTGTTGGTGCTACAGTTTTTGAGGATCACTCTTCCTAGGCTTTAATGCTGTTTTAAGTGTGTTCCCTGCTCGTGGTGTTAGTACTGATGGCTTTCTGAAGGCTAGATTTTCTTTACACAGAGTGTCAGTAGTTTCTTGGGAATGATATGAGCTGAAATATCTCGCCTCACAAAATGGAAGTGTTACCCTTAGCTTCTTAACCTCTTTCTTCTTGTGAACTGCACATCATAGAGCAAGGGCATTAAAGTAAAAAAAAATTTCTGTGAAAATGATGAATTAGTTGACTGGTGTTGTGTAAAAAAAGGGTTAAATCTAAATGGCTGTGATTCTTGAACCAAAGGCAAGTTAAAATTGGAGGGAAAGGCAGTCCCAGGAGAGTGAGTGTGTCATTGTTTTGGTTTTGATTCAGCCCCGTGGCGTGTGCAAGGCGGTCAAACCCTAAAACTGCTGCCTCAGAGAATTGCTTCCCTGCAGGAAGGCGGTGAGTCATGGGTGCCACTGGTAGTTCATTAAGGACATATGTGTGGTGACTCCAGTCCTTAGCCCTCCCTTCCAGGTGGAATTCACCATGAAAAAATTCAGTGGCCGTGTCACATGTGAGAACCCATAATTCTCCACAGCTGCACATGACCCATTCCTGCTGTGTCTGTAGCTATTACTGTGCTCTCCTCTGTTCGGACCCAGGCATGCCTGAGGATGCAGTTTGGGGGTCAGTCACATTAGGGACTTTTCCGTTCCCGTGCCTCAGAAACAGCTGTAATCCTCTGAAAGGCTGGAATTCTTGTGAGCTGGGAGAAAGGCTGGCTCAGCTGTGGAGCTGCCAAGTGGTGGAATGGAGCCCAGGGCTTTCTGAAAATAGGAGCCCCAAAGTTAAGCTTGTGCAGCACCAGTAGCACCAGGCTGATTGAAACACAGTGAGGTGGCAAAGCCACCTGGAACTGGTGAAGAGGAGCCTTTGTGTCTGCTTATTTCTGTGGGTGGCACTCAGTTACTCTGGGTGTGTTTCCTGAAAGGTTGCAGGTGTCCTCAGAGCTTGAAGTGCCATTGATGATGTGCAAGGAGAGGAGAGTGGTCAGCCATGGGACAAGGCTAATGAGCCTAGTCATCCCTGGAAGTGTCCAAGGCCAGCTTGGACGGGGCTTGGAGCAACCTGGTCTAGTGGAAGGTGTCCTTGCCATGGCAGGGACGTGGAACGAGTTGAGCTTTAAGGTCCTTTCCAAACCAAACCATTCTGTGATTATAAACCATTATTTCTTTTTAGCTTTCTTATTTAGTCATGCAGTGCTGAGCTCATCACCTAAACTCCCTCCTACCATAGCCAGAGAGAGGAAGTTCAGTCTGTGATTCTTTGACGTGTGACTTAAGGGTAAACCTCAGCATTCTGGTAGAACAGCAGGTTTTGCTTCCATGTTAGTTCAGAACCTGATTTCTCCCATCTTCATCCTTTCTCAGATGAAATCCCTGTTAAGGATTATGGCTTATTTTTTTATTGCCTTGGAAAGTGAGAGCTGAAAGGCACTCCATAAAGTTTAAGTTGTCTTATCAAACAGCAGCGTTTTGGAGGAATACAGGATACTGAGAGAGAAAGGGAGTTTATTTTGCACAAGGACTGCAAGAGGGAACTTTGAGGTTGTACAGAGGAAAGCACCAGCACGTATTTGTGGAGTATGTGGGTCGGTACACTGTCAGAAATGTGATTCAGTGATACGGTATCCTGTGGATATTACAAACTTCGTTAATTGTCAGGAGATGTTTATTACGACAAGTCCCAGCTTTAAAAATTGCACTGATGTATTTTTAACCTCTCACTTGCAGCTTTAGCTGGCCTTGGAGTGAGTCAGAGCTGTTTTGTGATCAGAACTGCTTACAGGTTTTAATACGCTGGAGAACAGTCTGAAAGCAAAGCCGGAGTGTTTCCGTTTTGTGAAGGAGCAGTGAGCATCTGTGTGGAGTAAAATTAGGCTTGAGATCAAGGTTGACCTAGTGCCTTGTTCTGAGCTGTTTTCATTTGTGCTTTCTCTTAAGGCAAAGGTATATCAAATGTTTGGTAAAAATATATGTGACACTGTCAGCAAGTTTCTAAAACTGTCATCTTTTCCCCAGTCCTGAAGGGATATTAAGAGCTTGTACTAGTTTCACCTTAGTTCTTTGTCGCATTATCTGGGCCATCCAAAACTGGAGCACTGTGACCTAACTTGTCAGTTTCAGTCCTAATAAACTGGTAGGTGTACAGACACAATTTACGATTTTTTTTTGTTTTACAACTTGGCAAATGATTTACAAATTATCAACTTTTTTTGGATTTTCTGTGCTGCACTTTGGGAAGGAGGCTATTCTACACCTTGGACTAGGTTTATGGGAATTATTTACTCTCAAACTAGTCTTAATTTAAAATTGATTTACAATTTTAATGGCACTACTAAGTTTTTCAGTGTCTCTAGGGTGTATGACCTATTGAAAGTAGGTATTTCAGTAATTGTTCAGATGTTGTGATGGTTTTAGGATGTAGTTAGGGGTTATATTGCAGACTTTGTTCTGAAACTGCTTTTTTGAAAATATTTTTCTATTCATTAAAGTGTTCTGTAAAACTTAAGATGGATCACAAACTTTTTTTTTCTGTAATACAGTGAAATGCAGTGACTTCCTTAGAGGTCAGGGTCCTGTTATGCTGATTATTTTCTGTGTTAACCAAACATTCTGTCCTGTGATATTTATAGATATTTACTTACAAATGTTGAAGCCTTGTGCGAGAACTGACCAAGAAAATACACACTGACAGTCAGTCTTCAAAGGGCAACTACAGAACAAAGATCTGTTTGGTATATTTGTTTTTATCTTTAATATTATGAAATTTAATATGTCACGGGGCTGTTGGAGGTGTGATGTTGAGAAATACTGCTTCTGGTGATGGTGGGATTTGGGATGCAAGGTGGAGAGATTCACTTGGCAGTGACACTGTTAATTTTTCTTTTTCCTAGGAAAAAAAGAAAAAAAGTAGTGAAGAGTCCCAGGTACAAGAGCCTGATGATGTCTTCCTCCCTCCTCTGGCAGAAGGGTCTTCTCGAGCCAGGAAGGTGCAAGTGGAACATCCTGGAGAATTTACAGAAATTCAGCTCAGAGATGAAGTAGAGGACGGGAAAACTGTAAATGATGTGTGTGACATCCCCCAGAGTCATCTACCTTCAGCAAGTGAAGGGGCTGTTACAGTAACTCTGGAGCCTCCCACGGGCACAGAAGAGTTCAAAGCTGCTCCTTCCCATGAGGAATGTGTGGGGGATGCTGAGAAGAGTGGGAAAAGCGAGTCGGACAAACCTCACAGCCCCGTGGAGGTGGTTGCCAGTGGATCAAGAAATCCCGATGTATTGAGCAGTACCTTCCAGCCAGGTGCTGCTGGCTCCCAGACAGTGCTGGGCTTTGTGCGGGACAGGGGAGCTGAAAACATGCAAGATGCTAAAAGTCCTCTTGCTTGCTCTTCAGAGAAGCTTCCTCCCAGCACTTCCCAGCTCCCTGAGAAGTCCAAGGCGCGTGTCCAGCGGCCGGGACTGAGGTCGGTCTATCCAGACCTGTCAGCTGAGCTGTCCTATGAGAGACCCACCATCATGGCAGTGAAACCCCTGCTGCACCATGAGAGGCTGTACCCAGAGCTCCCCAGCGAGCCAGAGCTGGTGCCCTTCACCAGGGAACAGCTGAAGATCTTCGAGCCCTGCTCATGGCTGGAGAATGTCGACTCCTATGCCGAGGAATTCGAAAGCGTGGCCCATCAGGACAGGCACGAGTTCTACGAGCTGCTCCTGAACTACATGCGCTGCAGGAAGCAGCTGCTGCTGGCTGAGGCAGAGCTACAGGCCATGACAACTGACTGCCAAAATGTGAAGGGGAGACTGTGGACTTTCAAAGAACAACAGAAGACTGTGCAGGTGCTGTTGCTGAAGCTGCTTTTGAGCCCAAACTCTTTGGATGTGATTCCGGAAATTTAATTTTACTTGCCGCCGAGTTTATCATGCTTAAGCTGTTTTGCCTAAAAAGGATCACAGAATGTTAAGGGTTAGAAGGGATCTTAAAGATCATCTAGTCCCAAATCCCTCTGCCATGACCAGGGACACCTCCCACTGGACCAGGTTGCTCAAGGCCTTACCGTACCTGGCTGTGAGCATTGCCAGAGTTGGGGCATCCACAGCCTCCCTGGGCAGTCTGTTCCAGTGTCTCACCACCCTCACAGTATAGAGTTTCTTCCTAATATCTAACCTAAATTTCTCCTCTTTCAATTGGTACCCATCACTCCTTGTCCTTATCACTACAGTTCTTGATGAAGAGTCCCTCTCCAGCTTCCTTGTAGACCCCCTTCAGGTACTAGAAGGCTGCTATGAGGTCTCCAGACAAGCTTCTCTTGTCAGCTCCAGCTTTCTCAGCCTGTCTTTGTGGGGGAGGTGCTCCCTTCCCCTTACCAATTTTGTGGCCCTCCTCTGGACTTGCTTCAACAGTTCCACATCCAGAGATTATTGCCTTTGCTTTCTGCCTCACCACTGACCCCCAGTGTTTTAGAGTATCATCCTGCTGAGACTTAAAGGCAGTTTGTTGTTTGATTTTTAACCTCTGGTGAGTGTAAGGTGGTGGGATGTGTGTTGGTGGTCCCTTTAGGGGTCAGTCTCGTGTCTGCAGTCAGTCAGAATGAGCTGTGTGTGCCCAGTTCTGCCCGTGGTGTCAGGTGAAGTTTGCACCACAGCATTCCAGGCAGACGGGGGTGGGGTGGGATACGTGGTGCAGTGACTGTAGCACTGATGTCCCATCTGGCCTGCTGCCTGCAGGGACAGTTTCCACTGATGTCATTCCTGCTGTCAGAGCTGGCAGCTGCAGAGGAGCTCCAGTTGTGCTCGGGGGCAGCCTTGTTGCTCAAAGCAGAGAGTGTGAGGGGTCCATCCACCTTTAGTAACTTGCTCTGTAAGTGTAGCTGTGGCTTTAGCTACTTCCAGGGTGGTAATGGTACTCTGCCACATTTTTGTCTGCAAACTGGAGGGATTTATGGAGGTCTTTGGGGCACACATCAGAAAAGGTTTCCCCCAGACTTGTTCTGTGTCACTTGTCTTTGGAGCTCAGCATTGCAGTGGGAGTGAATGAAATTGTTCTGACTCTTTATAGCCAACACATCATCCAAATTGTCCAAAGGTGCTAAATACCTATGCACATGGTAGCTTTCACTGGTGTTTCTGTGAGTGCAGCTCCTCAGAGCTGAGAAACTGAACAGTTTTGAATCCTTTTTCCTGGGGAATAACCCTGAACCTCACTGGACTCTCAGTTTTGTGGTGATCACTTTCTACACTGAAAACAATTTTGACTTCACTCTTACATCCCCACTGGTCATCAGACACTTGGTTAAGCTTTCTACTTGCTTTATTCCATTCTGATTCACTATATATTTATTGAATATCTTGATACCAATTTGAAATTCTTATTTTAGTATTTAGGAAACACAGGGGTACTTTCGAGCTAAGTTTCCAAAGTGCTGGTTCTGAAGAATGTTTTCTGGGATGTTATTTATTGAAAAAGTAACAGGAATGTTATTTATTAAAAGAATAAGGGGAATGTTTTCTATTGTGGTTTTCTTGTGCTGAAGAATTAGAGATAGGGCAGAGGAAAATTGGACTCAGCTTTTGATTTCAGTTTGGGAGAAAGAGTGCAGTTAATTTCTGAAAATTTTAAACATGCAGTGGGGAATTGCTACAGATTATCAGTTCTGGGAGCTTAGAAAATATCTCGTTTCGGTGCGGGTTTTAGCTTTAAAATAGCAGATCCAAGTAGTTGTGGAAAATCTATAAACTGAGAAGCAGGTGCAGTCACTGGGAGTGAGACATCTGGTTTTGTTCACATCTCTCTGTGCTGCAGAAAAGCCACTTCATGACCATTTCTAGATCTGAGTTACAGAGGTATACAGAGTTTTTTTGGAAGTCAAAGATACGAGTCTGTGGTAACCAGCAGCTCTGAGAAGTGCGAAGGATGTTCCCAAACGTTTGTCTTTCCCCTTTATGGAGCGTCCCCTTTCATGAAAGCTTTGAAATCTGTTGAGGAGAGGGTTATATCAGAGTTAGTTTCCTTTAACCTTGACCCAACAGGATGGCAAAACCTCTCACATGAAATACCTGCTCTCCCTTCAGGGTGTCTGTGCAGACCAGTGTAAGGTGACGGGTCACCATCGCTACCAGACCGTGGAGCTGAACGAAGGCGTGTTGGGGGAGCTGAAGAAGCTGTTTGAGGCCAAGGCAGAGCACGTGCACCAGACCCTGGCCCTGCACTCGTACACCTCAGTGCTGTCCCGGCTCCAAGTGGAGTCCTACGTTTACAGGCTGCTCAGCAGCTCGTCCCTGCTGAGGTCTGTGGCCCTTCAGCAGCAAGAACAAGGTGTGTTGGTGGTCTGGACCACTCCCCCTGGGGGTCAGGGTGTCCAGAGCCTTGTTTACCTGCAGTTTTGGAGTCTTGTGCTGGGATTTCTGTGCTGGAGTGTTCCTCCTCTGATTCAAAAGGCTGTTGATCTTATGTAGGGATCAGTGAAACTTTTTTCTCACAGGAAAAATACTTCAGCTCTCTTAATTTACTCTCCTGGAGAGTGCAAACTGAATGCAGGAGTGACTTCTGTCTGAGCTGCAGACTGACACTGATTACTGTATAGAAACATCACGTGGGTGGGACACCCAGACTCCCAATCTTTTCTTGTCCAAGGCAACATATAATAGAGTTCTTTTTCCAAACTGATTGCGCACAATTCTAAAATGAGCTGGATATTTTTCCTGCTTTGCCTCCTCTTGGATGGCCATTTGAAATCTTACGGCTGCAATACTTGGAATTATCTTTTTATTTTTCATTCTGAGTGTTTCATTTGAGTTTGTGCCAATGTAATCTTCGGGCTAAAGTATTTCTCCTCCTCCTGCCCCAGATATTTTTATTTCTTAGTCCTCCTCTCTTTCCACCCCACCTCCCAGATTGTTTGTGTGTATAGTTAATGGTGGTTCTTACAAAGTTAATCTTGAGGGGAGGCCTTTTGTGCAAGTAACCACTTATAATTAGTGTCCAGTGCTTAATTATAAACTACTTAAATGAAGTATTCTATGTAAAGTGTTCTTCTCTGACAGATTTAGCAAGCAGCTGTGTTGAAATGTCTTGGTATCTATAGATACAGAGAGCAGTTTTTTATGTGGCCCCAAACCCACTGCTTGTGCTGCTACTTGCTTGTCAAAGCTTTTTAATTCTGTTCTTAATTTACAGTTTCAAAGCAGTCAGAGAATCTTTCTTCAGACTTGAGCCACTTGAAGGAATGTGTCAGTGTCCTCTTCAGCTTCACTCGCAGAGTTATTGAAGATCCTCAGTTTCAGAGTGACCTTCTCATGTGGCTGCAGAGACTGGTGAGGGAGCAGGCATGGATATATCTGATCCAACATATGGGATGAATTCAGGAGTCATTTCTGAAAGTGTTGTTGCTTCTCCCACTGTCCCATGGGCAATGATTTTTTTTTTTTTGGTGTGGTTTGTTCTACTTGAGGGACAGAATATGTTAGCAAATCTTTAGAATTGATTCCCTTGTTTGATGAAGTCATGCAGCATTAATGAGGACTGACACCTGAGCACCCAGTACTGCTTATTTTGAACTTCATTATGCTTTTGCTCATTTTAAAATTAAAACTATTCAGACTTGTCATGTTTGAGAAACTTATGTTATTGCTGATTTCTAAGTAAATTAATAAATTATAATAATAAATAATAAATAATAAATTTTAATGCAGTTGTAGAAAAATTGTTTTACACCAAATAAAACAGTCTGTGGCTCATAAGCCAAGCAAACAGACTTTTAAATATTGTTCTCCTGTAACATGCTCTGAAAATTGAGGTTTGTTAGAAAACATGAGAAAAGAAATGAACAAACAGTATTACTCTAGTTAGCAAGACTATAAAGAATTTAACTTCGAAATTATTTACATGATTCCAATACACTTCCCATTAGGGTTCTGTGCTGCAAAGAATTGGCTGTCCAGGTGACCATCTCTTCCTCTTCAACCACATCCTTCGGTGTCCAGCTGGGATCAGCGAGTGGGCTTGTCCGTTCATTCAGGTGTGAATGTTTAATTCTTTATTGTCAGAAAGTGGGAGTGGGGAAGGGTGAGAGAGGAGAGTGTCTCCTGCCTAGTCAGTCCCTGATGACTGACACTCCTTCCATGTGTGAGGAATCGTGGTGACGGTGAGGGGTTTGTCAGGGGATGAATTTAGCCCTGATAGCCCAACCCTGTGCAGGTTAACAGGGGAGCACACTTCCCTCTTGACTAGAGAGATTCCAGGAAAGAGAGTCAAGGGCTTGCCATGGGCCTCAGAAGGCCTCATGCACCAGGTTTTGGGATTGTTCTCCAAGAAATTGAAAGAATATTTAGACTTGAAGCAGCAGCTGTATATGAGACAAGTGAGATTGGAGGCAGCTCTGTGATGTGTAAGGGATGAAGAAGAACAGACTTTTTTTATCCTACACATGGAAATGGGGTTGGTTTCACTGCAAAGTTTATTAGTTGATTTCAGGGGCAGAGGGAAGTGTTCCCTTTGTATAGATCAGAGGAAGTGCAGATATCCAAAGGCACCGGGGCATTCTTTTCAAAGAACATATTTGCTCCTCCAAGAGGATAAAATGTTGGAAATCTAGCCAGAGAAAAAGGACTGCAATTGCACTAACAGGAAAGGCAAATGGTGCAACGAAAGCATTGAATAGAGTCATTTAGGTTGAAAAAACCCCTTGATATCATTGAGCCCAATCATTAACCTAACATGGTAGGATCCCAGCTTCCCCTGTGCCCAATGTCTGAATTCCCCCTGGTGCCCAGACCTTCATGTGGAACAAAGAGAGGCGTTTTCTTTCTTTGCAGTGGTTTGGGTTTTTTTTAACCCCCTCTGTAATTTTTATAAGTATTTCTTTTGG